CTGGGTCTTCCTTGGGGCATTTGTTGGGCGCATGGGTTCCAGTGCAGCGGGGGCAAATGGGTTTCTGGGAACACTCGGAAGCTTGGTGTCCCAGCGTGAAGCATTTGGCGCATTGGACGGGGGTTGGTGGTGGTGCATTGGAAGGTTCGCACCTGTGGAGACGGCCGAAGAGAACAATGCCGTCGGTCAGGAGTGAGTCGATGGTTATTACATCGTCGGAGATTAGTCTGATGAGGGGGGTGGGTTTATTGGTTTTTCTGGAAATGATTCGCCACATTTTGTGGACTTTGAGGTGGGGGGCGCTTATTAGAATGTCGCGCTCTTCAATGTCATGGTCTACGTCTTTAATGACGATTGAAAATAGGGGAGACTTTTTTGCTGGGTTTTGGATTTTCTTGGGGCGATTGATGGGTTTGATTGAAATGCGAGCGTCCGAAGTGGCCACTCGGAGGCGGTTTTCGAAAGATGCTGGGATTTCGTTTCGGGTTATCAGAAGGCAGGATTTGTTATAATTAACTTTGAGGGTGTCAATGTCATTTAGGAGTAGGTGGGTGGTTAGGACGTCAAAGAATTTTTTTTGTGTGGCGAAGGCTTGCGGAATGTTTTGTACTGTGTACTTGAAGAGTTCGGGGTTGGATGACGTGGAGCGGAGGGTTGCTGATGAGTCGGCCGAGGAACGGCCCGAAGTAGATGGGGTAGACGTTGCGGATGATGTTGGTGACGACGATGCGGAGTGGGTCGGGGATTTTGTTGGTTTGTTACCATTTGAGAGGGCAAGCAAATAATTGGGGTTTGACCCACCTGGTTTTGTTGGTGTCGGAGGCATCGTGGGGGCTGCTGCGGCTGCTGTAGCTGCCGTGGAGGCGGCTGCCATGGCTATGGCTGCGGCGGTGGCTGCTGCGTCTTCGGCGGTGGCTGCCGGGGATGCTGGTCCTGAGGCTTGGGTTGGGGCGCGGCGTGACGTAGCGGATGGCTTCGTCGGCGGGGCCCTGGTCACAGTGGAATTGCTTCTAAGCTTACGAGGTCCGGAAGACATCCTTCCTGGACGATGCGTAGATCGAAACTGTGGCGAAAACGACGTCTAAGTGTCCCCGACGTAAACCAAGCGGACTGTAAACTAAACGCGCGACTTTGACGGAATTCGCTCGAAATCGGCGGCCTCGCGCTCGACTTTCGGGTGATGACATCGTTCTCTTTTCGCCGTCACCACCGCCTCCTTGTCGTTAGACGGACGAAACACGGCCTCAGACCTTCCTCGACGTTTATTCGAGTATTTTTCGACGAAGCGGGAATCGGCGAATCGGCAGGGCGTCCGTCCGGACGCTCGCTCGAAGAAGACCTTGTCAAAAGTCGAACAACGTACCGAAGGTGGACGTCGACGCTCCGACGTCCGTCGTCGCCGCCACCGTGACGACGCTTCGACGAGGTGAGCCTCCGTCCATGCTTTCCGGTTTTTTACACCCTCGGGGACGATCGGAAGACGTTTTCTCGTCAAAAAACGCCTCCGAAAGAGGCAAGGTACGGTCAAAATCGTCACCGCTTCGAAGCGACTCTTCCGATTTCGACGATCTCCTGGGGCACGGGGGGCTCCTTCGACGTAGATCGTCGAACGAAAACGACGGAACGGACTTTCGGCCGTCCTCCGGTGGCGGTCTCGTCTCGGTACGAGGATGGGAACATTAAAAATTTCCATGTCGAAGGCGCGACGAGATGATTCGGTCTCGTCGTTTCCTCGTACCTCGAAACGACGAGGAAATTCGGATTTTTTTTATTTTTTTCCGTACGAGATCGATCGACGATCGAAATTGCACGTCTGACGAAAATTTCCTTGCGGATTTTTCCAAAAGTTTCTTCGTTTCGAGTGTCGTTTTCGAGCCGGGATCGAGCGCGGAAACCCGCAGCACCGCACCGACGGCGAACGAAAATTCTTTCTTCGATTCACGTGCGATACGTTTTCTGTCTTTCCTGTGGCCGCTTTTCATAGTTTTATTTTCTTTTTTTTTTTTTCCTTCTTCTTTCGAAGATCTGAAAGACTACATTCTATGGAGTTTATTTAATCTATTATTGTTTACAGACGAACGAACTTCGAACTATTTTAACATCTTTCAACTATTATTTTTTAATTCAATTCACTTACACTTTCATTATTATATTATCAAGGCAAGTGTTTTTCAAAGCATTCATGAACCATCGAGATACGGCGAATTTATGACGGCGGTTGTTTGTAAAATATTGCAAATGCTGCTTTTTGGGTTATATTTATATATATGTTGTCCGGGACTTGTTTTTTACGTATATTTACGATTACATTCACACACAGGTGGCCAGGTGGCGGTAGGGTAATTAATCCGGCGGACGAAGATGGTTTATGGTTTGTTTTTACCTACGTCCGCCGTGATTGTGCCTTATGTGCCTGGTTCGTCTCTTTGTCGGTCTTGTCGTCCTTTCCCTATCCTGTCGGTGGCATTCGTCTGTTAGTTGTACGTGCGTGATGTGCTTGTTTGTTTGTTTGTTTTGTATTTTGTGTTGCAGACCGCTGCGCTGTGCTGCGCTCCTCGATCTTTGATGTTCGTTCGTCGGATCTTGGCACTTTTGCTTCGACGTTTCGACTTCTCGGATCCATTTCTACTCATTTTTTACCCTTATCATCAGGCAACGGCCATACCACGTTGATAGCACCGGTTCTCGTCCGATCACCGAAGTTAAGCAACGTCGGGCGCGGTCAGTACTTGGATGGGTGACCGCTTGGGAACACCGCGTGCCGTTGTCTTCTTCTTTTTGTTAAACTTTAGTTTTTAGTAAAAAAACGATGTGTTATTATAGTAAATCGTAAGTTGTTAAGCTAGTTTTTAATTTAGAATTTAAGTTAGTCGCTAAGATTTTCCACTCGCGTCCTTCGACCCCAAATTTTCAAACACTCCGCTCCCTTCTCCCGACCGATTTTTTGTTTTTGTTTTGCCCTATCGCGAACACCCCCCTTATTCTTTTTTTTTTTTTTTTTTTTTTTTTTTTTTTTAAGTCCAAAAAAAAATTTACAAGTCCAGATCAGATCGAGGTGTCGCGTAACGACACTCTACTAGGTTTATAAAATAATGGATATTTATGTCTGCGACGATAAAATAAAATTTAAAGCACGACGAGAACTTATAAACGAACGCCGTACATGGACAACGAGATCAGAATCATTCAGGAAGACTCGAAAAGAAACGAATCGATGATTAAATATCTTTTAATTTGAAATTTATTCACGCTCGATCGTGAAAATGCAAAAAAACGGCCGTTTTGTTAGGAACATGCGTTATTTATCGTACGCGAGTTCCTCGAACAGACGGCCAGTATAGATTTGCATCAGTTTCGTAATTCTAGTATTAAAATAATGATAAAAAACGCGACCGTTTTCTTCTCGATCTTATGATTTCCTGATAAAATCGATCGTAGAGAGCACAGCGCTTCGTTATGAAGAAATAAATAATATAAATTCCTTCTTGCGGCGGGGGGAAAAAAAGAAAGAAAAAAAAAACAAGTACGTTCCCGTGACCTGACTTATTTACATATCGTATAAAAATCGATCGATAAAAATATATCGCTGTTTTTTAACATAGTTTCATTTCGAAAACCTCTAACCGAAATCGATCGTACGTACGTACGACGCGGACGGAATTTAAACATCGCACACCCCGAAACGAAAAGTATCATTTTATTCGTTCATTTAATAATCGAATAATAATAAAGGGGAAAGAAACATTCTCGAGGTTCGTTAATCTCTTATTTGTAAGGAATGCGATTTGTGGTTCTGAAAAGAACCGATTTGTTTGTTGTTGTTGTTGTTTTTTTTTTTTTTCCGGAAAGATGGACGACGGACGACGACAGAAATGATAACAAAATCATTCTACTTGGAGCTGGTGTACTTGGTGACGGCTTTGGTACCTTCGGAGACGGCGTGCTTGGCCAATTCACCGGGCAAGAGGAGACGTACGGCGGTCTGAATCTCCCTGCTGGTGATGGTCGAACGTTTGTTGTAGTGGGCGAGGCGGGAAGCTTCGGCGGCGATACGTTCGAAGATGTCGTTCACGAAACTGTTCATGATGGACATCGCCTTGCTCGAGATACCGGTGTCGGGATGTACTTGTTTCAACACCTTGTAGATGTAGATAGCGTAGCTCTCCTTCCTCCTGCGCTTCTTCTTCTTGTCGCTCTTCGAAATGTTCTTTTGGGCCTTTCCGGCCTTCTTGGCGGCTTTACCGCTAGTCTTGGGTGGCATCTTCGAATATTCGATAAGAGTTTAACAGAACAGAACAGAACGCAACGCTACGCTCGGTTCTCGACGAACGAATAAAAATATCACTTTTTTTTTTTTTTTTTTTTTTTTTTGGTGGAGGGGAAATGTCTACGCAGACCACCGTAATGGTTCTTGGCCTCTTCTGCGGCCTACGGTGGTACTGGGGGAATGGTTACCGCCCTAAAACCCCTCCTTCTTCTGCTCGGGTACCAGGACATTGTCCCTTACACCCACAACGCGCATCCCGGTAGACACAGCGGGGGCTGCGCTACCGAGCTCGGTTGAGCTATTGATTGCCTAGGAGTTGGCCCCCATCGTCGGCTCTTCCTCGCGGTCCTGCGGCCGGTGGAGAGATCTGAAACAGAAAAAATGCGCTATGCGCTGGCGTTAGATGTGCAACACCTTGGAGGCGATGCGGTCGGGAAGTTGGGAAGGCCGGGAAAGGCCGGTCGGTGGAGACGGCAGGTGGTGTTACTTGCCGATTCGGTCTTCAAGCAGCGCCCTACGGGGCCGCTTGCGACTGGGGGGGGCTTCCTCGTCGAACTCGTAGTCGACGGCTTCTCGCACCAGGGGGTTGGGGTGCTCTTCAGCTTTCCTGAAGGCTCGGAGGGCGACTTCGTGCAGGAACTCCTTCAGCGGCGGGAGGTTGGCCTCTCGGAGCAGTTGGGCGTTTCTGACGAACCATGGGGCTTTGAAAACCTGTCGGAGAATTTTCGTCTGGATAACTTCCAGACGGTGGAACTGGGTTTTGGAGGGTTCATAGCTCCAGGCCACTGAAGCATAGGTCATGGTGGGGCGGATGATGGCGCGATACAGCAACAACTTGTTCCTGATCGACACCTTACTGCGCCTTCCGATCAGCGCAGACAACGAACCCTTTATCTTGTTCGTATTGGCCACGATGTAGTCAATATGAGGGATAAAGGACAGCCGTTTGTCGACGATGACACCTAGGTATTTTGCTTGGCTCCGCCAAGGGATGACCCGGTTAAACATCGTGACGTTTCCTTCAGGCCCAGTACGTCTTTTCGAGATAAGAAGCGCAGTGCTCTTTTCTGGATTGACTGTAATGAGCCATCGTTTGCACCACTCCTCCAGCGCATCCACGGCCTCCTGTAAGTAGGAGGTTACGAGATGCGGCATTTTGGAGCGCGTAAGGATAGCCGTGTCGTCCGCGTAGATCGCAAGGCTAGTTCGGGGGAGTTTGGGTATGTCCGCGGTGAAAACCGCGTACAGGAGCGGGGAAAGCGCCGAGCCCTGGGGGACTCCTGCGCTAATTGGATGCTCCGCAGATAAAGCGTGCCCAATGCGTGCTTTAAACGTGCGGGAATCCAGAAAAGATTGGATGAGCTGCACCATCGCCAACGGCACGCCTGCTTGGTGAAGCTTGTAAACAAGTCCATCATGCCAGACGGTGTCGAAAGCCTTCGCAACGTCGAGGAACACCGCGCCAGTCAATTGTTTCCATTCAATTGATTTTGCGGCGAATTCGACTACTCGGAGGAGTTGTTCGGAGGTTGAGTGTTGGGGGCGAAAACCGAACTGTTCATCGGGGACTACGCCTCGTTCGTTGACGAACTCAGCTAGCCGTTTCCGAATCACACGTTCAGCGATCTTCCCCACGGACGAGAGGAGACTGATGGGTCGATGATTTTCCGGGAAAATGTGATTTTTCCCCGGTTTCGGGATGAAAATGACGTGGGCTTCTTTCCACCTAGCTGGAAAAAGACGGAATTTAAACATTGCATTAATTATACCTGCTAGTGCGACGATGGCTTCGTCGGAGAGGTTCTTCAATGCTTTGTTCGGGATGCCATCTGGGCCTGGGGCTTTCCTGGGTTTGAGGAGTCGGATGATTTCGCGGATTTCGTCGGGATGGACTTCGCGGATCTGGTCGTCTTCGTCGGGTTCTGCCATTCGAATTTCTTCGACGGTTTCCTCGACGAGGTCCAGGTGCTCGTCATCTGCATCAGGGTCGATGTTCGTCTGGCATTGGTTCTCCAGACTGTGAGCGAAGGCGGCGGCTTTGTCCTCTTCTGTGAAGACGATGCCGTTGTTCGCGCTGTGGATCGGTGGAAGTGGCCGCTTGTCGCTTCTCAGCGCATTGGCCATTTTCCAGGTCGATCCGTCCACGGTGTTCAGGGATTCTAGTCGTTGTTCCCACTGCTCGTTCCTAAGATTGAGCAGTGCTCGCCGGACTTCCCATTGGAGGCGGTTCGCTGCAGTCCGGTCGTCCTGTTCTCCAGTTCGTCGTGCTGTTCGTCTGGCTCTGTTCTTTTCCCTGATGAGATTCGCGATACGCTGTGGTATCGCGGGCCGTTTGAATGGCCGCACAGGGCGTCGAATTGAGGTCGCGTCGATGGAGGCCCGGATACGATTTTCGTAGTCCAGGGTTGCTCTTTCGACTTGCTCGCTGTCCTGGAAATTCGTTACAAACTCACCAAAGTTGCCCTTGATATGTTCGGCGAATTTCGTCCAGTCCGTGGTCGTGATTATGTTGGCCGCGGGATCGTTGGGTTCGTTCCCGATGCGCATAATCACCGGGAGGTGGTCGGAGTGGAGCTCGTCGACGACGTTGACGTCCACTTCGTGTCGGAGATTCTTGACGAGGGCAATGTCCAAGACATCACCTGGTGCATCTGGTCGGGCTCGGTGGTAGAACGTCGGTTCCTCGGTGGAGATGACGTCTACTTCCGCGGTGTTATGGAGGAAGGTTAGGAGACGCCTTCCGTTCGCGTTGTTCTGGCGGCTGTGCCAGTCCGAATGCTTGGCGTTGAAATCGCCAGCTGCGATGGTGGCCTCTTCGCCTGCGACGAGGTCAGCGATGTCTTCAACCTGGAGCGTGTTGGAGTTGTTGTAACAAGCGATTAGGCGCAGAGGCCCTCTCGCAGTCACAACGGTTACCGCCGTCGCTTCTAGTTGTCGGAGATCGGGGACGTAAGAAGAAGAGTGTTTAATCTCTTTTCTTACGTAGATGGCCGTTCCTCTCCCGTTTCCGTCCCGTCGTTCCGTTCGGTGCAAGGTGTAACCCGGCATCTTGGGATCTCGGGAGTCCCACAGGAGGTTCGTCTCGTTGACGAGGATGGCATCGAGCTGGTGGTCTTCCATGAACTCTTCGAGTTCATAACGCCCGCTCCGGAGTCCATTGGCATTCCAGAAGGCGATCTGTAATGAATTTACAATTAGTGGCGTACTACCCATCTAATTTTTAAAAAGGAGGGGAAGGAATGCCGCCATTTTCTCCGCCATGGACTGCGAGTCCTTGGCGGCGGCGATGGCGGTCATCAGTTGGGTCTTTTGGAGCTGCAGGTCGGCCTGTTGGCGAGCCGTGAGGGCGACCTTCTTGGGAACGGGAGCGGGTTTGGGTTTTGGGGTGGCCTTGGGGAGGGCACCGCGTTTGGGGGCGGCGGTCCTGGGGGCGGTCGTCTTGGACGATGTGGGAGGCTTCTTGGAAGCCTTCTGTTGCTGCGATTTGGGGAACTTGGGACACCCCTTGTAGCTGGCCGGGTGTGGCCCGCTACAATTCGCGCATTTCGCGGGCTGCCTGCGTTGCTTCTCGCAGTCGCTGGTCTGGTGATCGGCGCCGCACTTGACGCAACGGTGTTCGGCCCTGCAGTTCCGCTGGGAGTGGTGGAACCGCTGGCAGCGGTGGCACTGGGCAGCATCCTTCCTCTTATGGGGCTTCTCCACCTTGACGGAGAGGCCGCAAAGTGTCTTCACCTCGAAAACTTCGGCCTTCTTGGCCATAGGCATCTCGGCGAGGACGAGGGGCATCGGGCGGTCGTTTCGGCTCATCCGACTGACCTGAATTGGTTGGAGACCCAGAGACTCCAGGTCTTCCAACACCTCCTGGCTGGCAACTCCTACGGCGATGCCGCGGATGACTACGCGGAGAGTTTTCTCCTCCGGGAGCGTGAAGGTGTGATACTGCACCTTCATGTTGTCCAGAAGTCTTACCAGGCTTCTGAAGTCGCTCACCTCGACCGGCTGAATGCGCACCCCTTCCGGGGTGGATTTCGCCTTCGAATACCGGATGGAGTTATCCGTCATCCGACGCGAAACTTCTGACCATCTCTGGCCGTCCCGCAGGATTATGGGCGGAATCCTGCTTTTCGGGGTGGTTGGGGGACGTGGTGACACCACGGGGACCTCCGTCTCCATGGTCTCCTCCTGGGGCTCGGGCCGGGGCTCGGCGGGGGTCTCGTCGACTACCGGGGTGGTCTCGGCGGTGGTGGCGGGCTTGGCCCTGGCGGTGTCCCGGCTTGGGCCTGCCGGGGGCTGGGGCTGGGGCTTCTTTTGCTGCTTGGCAGCATGGGGGGCTGTCTGGGGCTTGGCATTTTTCTGCTGCTTCTTGCCAGCAGCAGATGGGGCTGGCTTCTCCGTGGCCGCGGGCTTGGCTGGTGGCTTGGGCTTCACGGTCGGGGGCGGAGACGCAATTTTCGGCTTTTTGGCCGAAGTGGAAGGCGTGGGGGCTTGCTCCTCGCCGCTAAGGGCGGAGAACATATTGCCAGTCGTGAAGACTGGCTGGGGGGTGGGGGTGGCTGGCCTCTTTGCGCCAGCTCTGGCGGTGGGGACCTCCTCGAAGGGGGACTCCAGGGGGGCCTCTTCGGACGTGATGTCCATGGACTCGTCCGAGTCCGAGGTGTCATCGTCGGTGGAGGTCTCGGCCGGGGTGTAGACCTCCTCCATTTTCTTCTCGATCCTCGAGATCCTTCTGGCATGCTTCTTCAATGCTGCCTCCATCCTGGACACGATGGCCAAGATTCTCGACAGCATGGCATCTCCTGGGGCCCCTGCCTGCGCCATGGTGGCACTGACAGAGCCTGGGACGTGTTGTGGTTGCGAAATTATTTGTGCCACATCGACCACTAATCGCTTTGAAAAAAGCAGCGTAGCCGATGGAAAACGTTGCGAAACGTTGCACAAGGGATGCTAGCGATAGCGCGCTGAAAAGCACAGTAACGCAGCGAACTCGGTGAACTTCACTGGAGCGTTGGGTCACAGCACGACGGCAGATTCACAAAAGCAAAAAATATGCAAAAGCAAACTCACCACCGGAACAGACAACCTTCCTCTCCAACTGACGACTCACGACTGATGGTAAAAAAAAATATCACCCCGCGTGCGACTACTTTTATAACGGACCGTCTACCGACTCAGGCCACGCCCATTCGTCCTAGCCTTCCTATGCGCCGAACTGAACCGACCGCACGGAGGGTATAAAGCCTAAGCCGCGACCGCCGGTCCGATACATAACCGAATAACGCAGCAGTCGATTACGTGTGTCGTCGCCGCTCGTCGCTCGCTCTTCTTGTTTATATTTCGTTTTTCGCAAGAAAATTAAAGAAAATGTCAGGACGTGGAAAGGGAGGAAAAGTCAAGGGAAAGGCGAAGTCCCGTTCGAGCCGTGCCGGTCTTCAGTTCCCCGTCGGCAGGATCCATCGTCTCCTCCGTAAAGGAAACTACGCCGAACGCGTCGGTGCCGGAGCTCCCGTCTACCTCGCCGCCGTCATGGAATATCTGGCCGCCGAAGTTCTCGAGTTGGCAGGAAACGCCGCCAGAGACAACAAGAAGACCAGGATCATTCCCAGACATTTGCAGTTGGCGATCAGGAACGACGAAGAGTTGAACAAGCTCCTTTCCGGAGTGACGATCGCCCAAGGCGGCGTTCTGCCCAACATCCAGGCGGTCCTCTTGCCCAAGAAGACCGAAAAGAAGCCTTAAACTCTTTTCATTTTTTTTAAAGAAACGGACCGGACGGACGACCGCTTTACCGAGAAAAAAAAAGAAAAACAACAACCCACATCATCGGCCCTTCTCAGGGCCACTAATTTTTTTCAAACGATTAAATGCTCGCAAACTTATCTTAATGGAAAACAAACAAAAAAAAATAATAGAAAGAAAGAAAAGTACTTTATATGACACGATATCGTTTTTCGATTCGAAAACGTTAATTTTTTTCTTATTGTTCGTTCATTTTTAAGCTTTCTCTCTGTCACTTCTCGTGAATTTTACTGCAAACGTTTAAAAATACGTGATTTTAATTTAATTTTTTTCCTTTTTCCATTTTATATCGTCATTATTATTTCTTTAAAAAAAACCAACACAACCAACCATTCATTCATTCATTCATTCATTCATTCATTATTTATTCTCGACATATAGTAAGCGAAATTTTTTATTCGTTAGAAAAATTTTGTGGTTCTGAAAAGAACCGTTTTTTTTTTTTCTCCGATCTCGTTTGTTGTCGTGGCGTATATACGGAAAAGTCAAAGAATCAAAATCAGCGACGATTAAATTTCTTGCTATTGCAAAAAATTAACCGCCGAAACCGTAGAGGGTGCGTCCTTGACGTTTCAAAGCGTAGACGACGTCCATGGCGGTGACGGTCTTACGTTTGGCGTGTTCGGTGTAGGTGACGGCGTCACGGATCACGTTCTCGAGGAACACCTTGAGGACGCCTCTGGTTTCTTCGTAGATCAACCCGGAGATACGTTTCACACCGCCGCGACGGGCCAATCTTCTGATGGCCGGTTTCGTTATGCCCTGGATGTTGTCGCGCAGGACTTTGCGATGACGTTTCGCGCCACCTTTTCCCAAGCCTTTGCCTCCTTTTCCTCTACCGGTCATCTTGGAATATCTTCGAAGAAGCTTGCGAGCGACGTGGATTCAGAACGGTGTTCGTAAGGGAACTGCGAAAATTACGAAATTCGGCGTCGTTTTATAACGTTCCCGAGCTACGCCCATTTCTGGTCCCGCTCGACCAATAGACACGCGCAGAGAGCGACTTTGTAGCGGTGAACGTTATATAAGGTTCGCCGCGAGCCCGTCGGCCGTTATTTCCAGTCAACGTGTTCGTAACGTCCGTCTGCTGCGTGTTCGTTCGTCGATCGATTTTAATCTTTCGCTTATTTTTTCGAAATGGCAAGAACAAAACAGACCGCTCGTAAATCTACGGGAGGAAAAGCCCCCAGAAAACAGCTCGCCACTAAGGCCGCGAGAAAAAGCGCACCGGCGACCGGCGGCGTCAAGAAACCCCATCGTTACAGGCCCGGAACCGTCGCTCTCCGAGAGATCCGTCGTTATCAGAAGAGCACCGAACTTTTGATCCGCAAACTGCCCTTCCAACGTCTCGTCAGGGAGATCGCCCAGGACTTCAAGACCGACTTGCGTTTCCAGAGTTCCGCCGTGATGGCTCTCCAGGAAGCTAGCGAAGCTTACCTCGTCGGTCTCTTCGAAGATACCAACTTGTGCGCCATCCACGCCAAACGCGTCACCATCATGCCCAAAGACATCCAGCTGGCGAGACGCATTCGCGGAGAAAGAGCTTAAAAAAAAAAAATCGACCGACCATCAATCACACCGTCATCTCTCAACTGTCAGTTCTCTTTTCGAAAGAGACAAAAAAATCGGTTCTTTTCAGAACCTCAATATTTTTCCTAACGAATAAAAAATTAAGCAACTTTTTCGAGAATCGAATCGTTCGAAAACTTAAATAAAAGATAAAAAATTAAAATTAAGGCATGCAAATTCATTCATTCATTCATTCAAATCAATCTTATCAATCATTTATTTCTTTCTTTCTTTCTTTCTTTCTTTCATTCATTATTCGATTTATATGGTCGAGCGAAAATTTTAATTCGTTTGAAAAAAATTTGTGGCCCTGAAAAGGGCCATTTATGCGTGCCCCTTCGTCGATATGTACGATCGGAGCACCGCCGGGAAACAACAACAACGACGTCGTCGTCATCATCTTCTTCGAACGCTCACTTTTTTCTTTTCGGAGAAGCGGCTTTCTTCGCTTTGGCGGAGACGGCCTTGGTGGACTTGGGTTTCGGAGCTTTCGGTTTCTTCGTGGGTCCGGCCTTGTTAGATCTTTTCGCTTTCGAAGGAGATTTCGCCTTCGACGCCGCTCTGGCGGCAGCGGCGGCGGCGGCCTTCTTCTCTGCGGCGGAGGCGCTGGCAGCGGCGGCGGCGGCCTTCTTCGCTTTGGCCACGGAAGCGGTCTTCTTTTCGGCGGCGGCCTTTTTCGCTTTCGGCGCGGTCTTCTTCGAAACCTTAGAAGCCGCCTTCTCGCCGGCGGCGGCGGCGGCTCCGGCGGAAGCGCGTTTTCCCGCGCCTATCGCGGCTTTCTTCGTCCTGCCGGCGCCGGATTTCCTCTTCCTTTCGGCGGCGGAGGCGGCGGCTTTGGCACCGCCGGCGGTAGTGGAGGCCAACTTGAAAGAACCGGAAGCACCTTTGCCTTTCGTCTGGACGAGGGAACCGGAAGCGACGGCGCCTTTCAGGTATTTCTTGATGAACGGAGCAACTTTTTCGGCGTCGACCTTGTAGTTGGCGGCGACGAATTTTTTGATGGCCTGGAGGGACGATCCGCCGCGTTCTTTCAAACCTTTGATGGCGTTGGTCACCATCTCCGAAGTCGGCGGATGGGAAGGTTTGCTCCTGGGATTCTTCGCTTTCTTTTCCTTCTTGGCGTGAGGCGTTCCGGCGGAGGAGGCGGCGGCCGAAGCTGTCACCGCGGCGGAAGCTGTTTGATTTTCTACGTCTGCCATTTTACCGAACAACTGATTGTTTTTGTTATTAAAAAAAGTCGATGGTTATCGGTCGCACGATCGAATTTGAATAGTGGCGAAAACGAATCAATCAATCAATCAAAATACATTTATTCAAGCAATTATATGTTACAATTTGAACCTTAAGATATTTACAATACTTGGGGGCGCTGCTGAGGCTTAGGGCCTTTTCAGCGCTGGGCTTAGTTACAATATAAAGGGGTTATTAATTATCTTATTACTAACAATAGTAGGTTTGTTTACAGTTTTGTGCTTAAATAAATATACATTTCATTCTAATTCTTATGGCTAATTGTTGTCTTCGTGTTGTCGTCTTCTTTTCTTGAACTTGGTCCTGGTCCTGGGGTGTTGGTGGTGGCTGAAAGAGAAAAGGGGGTTTTCGTTGTCGTCGTCGTCGTCGGTTGTCCTTGTCCAGGTCTGGGTTCAAGTGGGTCGTGGGGCTGTAGGTGGAGGGGTGGTGTCGATGGCGGGGCGGGGACGGCAGCGTCAGCGTCCTCGCAGCGATATGGGTGTGTGGTCTACAAGCTCCTGGAGAGCCTGCGGGAGGTCGGGGTAAAGGGTTTCCAGGAGGGCGGTGGGTGCGTGTTTAAATTTGTTTTTGGGGACGCGCGGCAGGCGGTGTAGGAGTCTGTTATTCGCGGCTGGGTATTTGTATGATGTGTGTAGGTTTTCTATGGCTATGGTGTTGTTACTGGTGAGTGTTCTTTTGACGTATTTTTGTTGAAGTGTTTTTAGTCGGTCTCGGATGGGGGTTGCTTTTGTGCGTTGGTAGACGTGTTCGGATGGATATCTGGGGTGGAGTCTGTATGCCCGACGTAGGATTTTGCGTTCGCATGTGGTTAGTCTGTGTATGGCTCTGTTTGGGAGTGTCGCGTAGAGTGTTGCCCGGTAGTCGATAATTGGGCGTATGAAGGAGTTGTAGGTGTATTTGATGGTTTCGGGGTTACAGCCGCGGATGCGGCCTCGGATTAGGTAAAGGAGGTTGGAACGGTTTCGGATTTTTTTGAGGGAGTTTTCGAGGTCTGGGATCAGGGAACAGTTTTCGGAGAAGGTGATGCCCAAATATCGGACTGTTTTGTGTTTTGGTATTTGTTCGTCATGCAATGTTAGTCGCGAGTGTTGGAATTTGTAGCGTTTCGAGGTTGCACCAGGGTAGGTCATGCATATGGATTGGGATTTCAGGGCGTTGGGTTTGACTCGCCAGTTGTTGGCCCACGTTTCATATCGCCGGAGTGCTTCCTGTATGGTGGAGGTGGCTCGTTCGGGGTCTCGGTGGGACGTCCAGAACGCGGTGTCGTCGGCGAACATCCTCGTCTTCGTTCTGGGCGTATCTGTAATTGGAAAGTCACTGCAGTAAATGGAGTACAGTATAGGTGAGAGCGCGGAGCCTTGGGGGACCCCGGCTCGAATGTTTACAGGTTGTGAATGGAAGTTTTGTACTTTGACTCTGCAGGAGCGGTTGTGTAGGAACGAGTCTAGAAGAATGATGAATTTTGGGTTTATTTGGAGTTTGATGAGTTTATAGATTAAACCATCATGCCAGACCTTGTCGAATGCACGTTCTATGTCCAGAAAGACGGCGATTGTGCATTCTTTGAGGTTGGCGAATCGGGTAGAATCGGTATGGAGCTCTAGAATAGGGTTCAATGTAGAGCGTTGCGAGCGAAATCCGAATTGTTGCTGAGGGATTATGTTGTTTGTTTCTAGGAAGTAAGTTAGACGGTTGGTGAGGATTTTTTCGAATATTTTGCCCGAGATATTTAATAGTGAAATTGGGCGATAGGAGAGTGGGTTGTGGGGGTCTTTTCCGGGTTTGGGGATCATGATTGTGGAGGCTTGTTTCCATGAAGTCGGGAAGTATGAGGCGTTGAGACAGGAATTGTAGATGTTGGCCAGAGCTTGAAGGGCTGTTGGCGGAAGGTTTTTTAGAAATATCGCCTTGATTTGATCTGGTCCTGGGGCTTTGGAATTTTTGAGGCATTTGATGCGGGATTCGACTTCTTGGAGGGAGATGTCGTCGGTTAAGTCTTCGTTATTGTCGGGAACGTGCATGTTGAGGAGGGCTAAGGGATGGAAGGGCTGGTCGCGGAAGTCTTGCACTTCTTCGGACACAAGGTTGAAAAAATCGTGGTTGAAGTTGGGGTCTAATGAGATTTCGTGTATTTGTTGGAGAGTTTGAGCGAAGGCGTTGCTCTTGTCTTCGGGGGTGGATAGGAAAGTGTTATTTTGTATTAGGTGTGTGGTGGTTTGTGTTTTTTGTCCGGTGAGTAGTTTAAATTTGTCCCAATATTGTTTTCCGTTTCGGTAGTCTAGTTTTGCGCAGGTGTTCGACCACTGTTCTTCCCGGAATTGATTTATATCGCGTCTTATTTGGGCATTTAAGCGGTTAAAGTGTGTTTTGAGTTGTGGGTTACGTGTGCGCGTGATTTCTCGGTAGATCTGGCGTTTTTGTTTTATTAGATTTAGGATTCGCGTAGGCAGTGGCCGTTTGTTTTTCGGGATGTGTTTACGCGGGATAGCGAGTTCTTTGGCGGCTGTGATGGTGTCTGTGAGTAGTGTGATCTGTCGGTCAATTTCGTGTGTGTCGCGAGTTATGTTGATCGGTGGCAGGTTTTCGGAAATGTGTTGTTTGTATTTTGCCCAGTCGGCGTGTTTGATGTCGTCTATGGTTATGTAGGTTGCTGGTGGCTGTGGGGCGGGAAGTAAAAGTTGGGCTGTTAGTGGTAGGTGTGGGGAGGTGACCGTTGTTCCAATCTGACATTGTAGGTTGAATTTGGGGGTCAGTGTTTCGGAGATGATTATGTGGTCGATTATCGATTGACCTTTATGGCTGATGAAGGTGGGGTGCCTGTTTTCAAGGCGATAAATGGGGAAGTTTGTTAGATAATTGACTAGCTTTCTGCCGTTTGAGTTCGTGGAGGTATCGCCGAAGTCAATATGCCTGGAGTTGAAGTCGCCCATTAGTATGGCGTTTGGGAGATGTGAAGCGTATTCGAAGAGGAGGGATGAGAGGGCTTCTTGGGGCGGATTGTAATGGCATATTATTGTAATAGAAATGTTGGCAATTAGGACATTTACGGCAATAGCTTCGAGGTTTGCAAGATTTGGTGGTAGATCATGCCGGGTGGATGGAATTTTGTTTGAGATTATTAGAGCTGTGCCTCGTGCGTTATTCATGATTGAGGGTCTGTGATAAGTGGTGAAGCGTGGGATTTTTATTTCCCGTTTAGTTTTGGTTTCGGTTAGGCCGAGGACTTGGATATTGTCTGTTTCGATGAAGTTTTTGAGGGCATGCATTTTGTGTCTTGCGTTGTCGATGTTGGCTGTGGCTATATTAATGAAATGTAGATTGGCAGCGGCGTGGGGGGGGTTGTGGGGCTGAGGAATTGGGGGTGTGGGTGCCGCACGTTGGGCCGGGGGCCCAGCGTGCGGCGGGGTGGGGAAAACATGCACGTTGGTTGTGCTACCCATTACGCATCAAAGGTGAAATGGATGAGCCGACCCGAATGATTTATTCGGGTCTTCAAGTTGAAAATTGCTAAGGAAGCGTCCTGAATGGCTTGTTGGGTTTTGGGTCTGTTCAGAGGGAGCAGGTCAAAGAGGGTTTTGGTGACGAAAGCGATGAGGGCTTTCGCATGAACTTGGGACAGGTTGATTTCTTCTGGGGCTTCGTCGGTTACGTCGACGGGGTCGGCGAATTCCGTCGGTGGATCGATGATGATCGTCGGGAGGGTTTGTGTCTCGTCTGTGACGGTTAAT